GATTGCAATTACCAAACTTTAGGGGAGATTTCAGCAACGGTTAGAAACTTCAGGGGAGGTTTCAGTAATTTACATTTTTTTCAAATTAACAAAAAAAAAAAAAAAATGAAACCATTCTTCCATAAAGTGGTGGGTAAGCCAATTCAACCATTTGGGCCAATTGAGTGAATCCATGATGTCATAGTTAAATAAAAAATGTAGAAAAAATTGGTCATTTCTCTAATATTTTATATTAATCATATTAAAGAAAAAAAATGTCATAAACAAAAATTGTTTTCATTGATAATGCAAATGAAATACAAATTTTAAAAACAACAAAAAAATGAAATTGATTTCCTATTTGGTCCAGGTCAACAATTCAACTTTTAGGTCAAATGTGTCAATATTTGATGTCATAATTAAATAATAAAAATTAAAAAAGTACATAAATTTTGCAAAAAAAAAATCATTTAGGCACATCTCTAATATTATATATTCATCATATTAAACAAAAACAGGTGTCATAAATAAGAATTATTTTTATACACATGAAAATATAAAAAATATTAAAAATGTAATTTGAATTTAGTTCCTTTTTAATTGTGAGGATAAAAATATAATTTAAACTATTATTTTTCACCTCATTCAAATCCCTCTCATTAAGTCATATATTTGAAGTACTAACATCCATTCTCACCTCTTACTGGTTGTAGCATAGACTTGGGATTAAATCTTGCATGCACCTCGGCTTGGGAGGGATGGACTGCTCCCATTGCATAGCCCCATGGAGCAAAAGAAAAAAAAAATACTTCTGCATAGTGCTGAATTCACCCCGACCAATATCATATCCAATCCATTGACAGCACTAATATTGGCTTGGCTCATATTACACACTACACCCCTTGATCTAGAATGAATTCAGATTTCTTACTTGCGAAACCGCATTCATCACACCTCCTTACAAATGTGCATTAAGAATATATCCAATGAATAAAAATGGAAAATGTTTTAGATGCAGAGCTGCAAAAGGCCATAGACATGGTGTAAAGACAGTTTTGTGAGCACGAAATGTAAATTCATCTAAATCAGTCAAATTGTGGGGTCTTATATTCATTTTTGGATGGATGTTGGAAATGAGCTTGGTGAGTTATCAAAAAAAAAAAAAAGGGGATAAAAAAGACCACTTTGCACAATCACGTGATTAGGAATCAGTTCTCCAATTCCTCCTCCAAATAGACAAAGGTAAGGTCCATGGATCAAATGGTGGTCCAAAATCTGTATTCTCATTTGTACATTTTAGGGATGCAAATAGATCAGATTAGATTCGAATTAGGGTATATTCACATGGTTTTAAAAACGACCCGGAGATCGAACCGGTCAGGGGTCCAGTTATCGGGTTGAACGGCCC